TGAGTCCTCTTAGCAATAAACTTTCACATTAGAGGAAGGTAACAAAAAGTAGGGGGAAAGTAATGAAACTTTTGAAATTTTATGTCTGTTTGCTGTTTCTGTCTAACCTGAATTCCCCTTGCTGACATTTGAGCTTGGTTGCAGTAGTTAAAACTGTTGGAATTGTCTAATAGACAAGCTGCAGTTTCTCTGTTACTGCTGTTTTTAAAGATAAGATGAAGCTGAGGATATATCAGGTAGAGCTGATCCTTTTCCTGCTCTTTTCTATGATGCAACCTCCACCCAATACAGTGGCTTGGAAGTAAGTCATCTGACTCTATGGGGAGCACATGGCAGTCTTGGCTGTTGTGTGTAAAAAGACACATACATCAGCCTTCACAAGAGCTGTCTTCTGAAGCTGCCTAAAGATTACTGGACTGGGATGTGCTGCTGAGGTGGACAGAAAATTTTAAGACTGTTGTTGAAAGTCAGCACTGTATCTAGATTGTGGCAGCTGGATATAAAAGTAGTTTATAATGTGATGATACAGACTTTCTCTGCTAGAAACCGTACTATAAAAATCTATTTTTTTCCATTTTGGTTTAAAGGTGTGTTGCTGAATTCTATTTTTCTCTGTATCCTGAGTATCTTTGAATATCTTTTGCAGACTGCAGGTGCCACAAAATAATATTTCTTTCCTTAAAGCTGTGCAAGTATGGATAAATAATTCTAGAAATGCGTGCATAAATAATTGCATTGATTTACAAATAATAGTTACAGTTTTTATTTAATTCTGATCTGTCTATTTCTGGATGACCTTTTAAGAAGATTCAGGGCCAAAGAACTTTCAGAATGGTCCCGCAATTGTGATAATAGGGAATACGCTACAGAAGGCAGTACAGCCTGAAGAATAAAAACCCAAATGTTTATTTCGTACTTTGCTTGTTTTTATATATTTGCAAGGAAACAAAAGCACGTACAGTGTGTTGTTCTTTAACAACGTTATGGGTTAATTCCAATGAGATGTATCCTTTTTTAAAAAACAAAGTTGCTATCAGCACAGCTTTTACAAAACAGAAAGCTTTTCTGTTTTGTTTATATGGACACAGGATTCAAGTTTATCAGTTTCCTTCCCTTTCATTTAATTGAAAGTTCACAGCACTTGTCCCAGTTCCTTCCAAGGGTCTGGTACAAATATTTCTGTACACTGAAGGAATATTTGAAGTGCTGGATTCATGAAGCTTTTAATCCTTTAAAAAACTGAAAGTTGTTTTGAATCTCGCTTCCACATTGGGAGGGCTGGAATTTCTGATACTACAGAAGAAAATGCTCAAACTTGGCTACAGAGAGCTGGTACCTGAAGCATCTCATGCCCTCAGTGTAGCCATTTGCAGAATTGCCACCTTGCAAGGGATGGATTGCCATCTTATTTCTCTTTCTGAGCTGTTTGGTGACTCTAATTAAAGAAAACCACAACTATTGGGAAACTAGATAAATCTCAGTAACAGAAGCTTTATTTTGGACTGGTTCAGCCAATAGAACTGTATTTAATTAGAAGTAAAAGTGTAAGGTAAAATACCTTAGAAAAATTATTTGATAGAACAGATTGTGTCTGTTTGTGGTTAAGACTGGAGATGAAGGTCTTGAGAAATAATCACGGTTTGTGTCTGTGTAGCTTGAGGCTGTGTGGTTTGCTGCAAGGCTGACTTTTTGGGCTCTTGCTCATAGAACAAAAAAAAATTTGTTTTGGGAGTTCTGTAGAGCTAAGTTTATGCCAGAACTATTTCTTATTTGACTCTGTGACAGGATCTTCATTGCCAAATCAAGTCCCATCTCTTGGTCATGCTTAACTTTATATAGGAGAAGAGATGTGATATCATCTAGCTTTCCACAGCCAGTATAAACTCTGTATTGTTTTGGGTGCCATCCACTCTGTCCTGGCTCCTTTCACAGATGGGCAGTTGTACGTCTGTGCTTGGTCTGGATCAATCTTGTATTATTGGGTTATCTGATAGCTGGCAGACACTGTATTCATGTTCATGAGTCCGTGGCCTGGGTGTCTCTCTCATGCCCAGTGTTTCGTTGTGGTAGTCTGCATCAGAAAAGGGATTTGGGGTTTCAGACACATTTAAGTGCTTTGCCCTATGAAGTTCAGGTAATTTAAATTACTTTGTCACATGGCAAAGCTTTGGTACTTGAGGAATTCTACCTGTAGTATTCTCTTCACTGGTGAAATAATGAATTAATGGTTATTGGTGTTTAGGAAAAGTTGCTTTTATTTAATGTTAAATTTATGTTCTTCCACTCCTTTGTGGCTGCCTTATCTAGACTGGTAAGGCAGTAAAATTAGCACTTTAAAAATAAATTAAAAAAATTGAGAGACTTTTCCAGTATATCATGGCAGAAGAAATGCATCAGTACAATTCCTGAGCATGGTACTCAGTCTTTCATTAGGCTTTCACTGTATGAGTGTCTGACACTGAATTTTTTTGTATAGTGCTTGTTTTGGCTTGAGTGAGTCTTAAGACTGCAGTCTAACATATGGTTCTAACAAAAGTAATCTTTGTCTTATAGCTGGATGTACAGGCTTAGGTCAATAGTTTAGTATGAATGTACACACTACCATAAATCTGGATGGTAAAAATACATGTATAGTGAAATTCTACGGTAGTTTTCACTGTAGAAGTAAAGCATAATGTTTCCTTTCAGGATTTACAGTTACTTGCTTGGTCTTGTTTGGATATTTTAAAAATGAATGGTAATTCCTGGAAGATGATATTTGTACGTCTAACTAGTCTGGAATTCAGATCTACCATTTGGGGCAGGGAACAAAAAATCAGTACAAATCTGGAAGGCTGCAGTGAAAACGGTAAAGTCAGAAGCAAATGGATTAAAGGCCTTTCGAGTTGTGTTGGCACTTTTTCCTGTTTGAGAAGGTTTTTAAACAACAGTCTGAGCTGCATAAACTTGAAATATTTCTCAAGTGTTTGTTTATATGAATTGCTTTCTAATGAGGTCATAGCTGTTTTCCGGGACACAGTGGTATTTCCTTCTCTCAGTCTTTTTTTTTTTTTTTTTCTTTTCCACGCTGCTTTCTACATTATACCTTGAAGACAGAACAGGCTTATAAAAATCAAATATTGCTCAGGATACTTCCAAGTTTCAACTCAAAGGCTTTACAATCATATTAAATGACCTGAGGCTGCAGCTCCATATAAGCATATGTGGAAAGCACTACTAGAGTCCTTGAAACGCTTTAGAGTTTTAAAGAAAACCTGTATCATTGTCGAGAGTTATTCAGCTGAAAAGTTTTTAGCCCCCCAAAAGCAGGAGGATTGGGATGGGTGGAAATGAATCTGCAAAAGCTGAATTTTCATTTAAATATTTTTTGTCTCCCATTTGAGATTGAGCACTAAGCAAAAAAGAATAATCACCTGACCCCTAAATGGCTAGATATGACAAATATCAGTAAATAGTCTTTTCCACGTATTCTACAGAAAATGGCATCATAGGCAATTGCCCTTTCATTCCTTTGCTGTTTAGTTCGGATGTAATGATGTATTTGATGTTTTTATCTACAGTTTGGTAATGTTTTTAATGTTGACTTTATTGCTAAAATAAATAGCTTCCTGTTTGCAGGACCTTTGGCTTTTCAGACTGCTAGATTCATAGCTTTTGAAAAAATACAACTGTTTACTAGATACTGTTTTGCTTCAGGTAGCTGTTTCCACATATCTTGGGCTAATGTCATAGAAGGACAAAAAGTTTATTCTCTGAGGAAGAGGGATTAGGCTTAAATCATTGAGTAATGTAATGGTGAAATTGTGGAGTCATGATTTCCTAACGACAAGTGTGGTGTGTTACAGCTGAACATAAATTTGGAGAGTTTCTTGTCTTGACTCATTCAGCCCTGGGCTGTGGAGCTGCACAGCATTGTGTGTGTGTGGGTTAGGCTGTTTGAACAGAATACTCTTTGCTTGCAGTATGTGGTAAAGGTGGATGAAGGTTCAGGGAAGGGTCCGATAACTGCAAGGTCAGAAGCCCTAAGGAATCCATATGATGTATTCACAATGCATGGATCTGTTTCATAATCTGGAACAAAACCTCTTTGGCATAACAAAAAAAAAAAAAAAGTAAAAAAAGATGGTTACATCTGCAAACTGTACTGTTGGTTTAGTATCTTTTTTCTTATTTTCTTCTTTCTTTTTTTTTTTTTTTTACTTTTATGTTATTGAAGTAAACAGGCAATGTCCTTCCCAAAATACTTGGGAATTTTCAGAGGCTTTTAGTTTCCCACGAAGTTTGGGTTTACTTATGCATTGAGACTGCTGTAGGTGAAGGCATACAAGAAATAGTCATTTGTGTTTTTGAAACACTAAAGTGATCACATAAATAGTTATTACAATTCAGGTTATTTTGTGGGGGGAGTATAGATGCAAGCTGACTGGTACAGTTCCAAGTTCCTTGAACTGCGAAGGATTCAATTCTGCATAACACGTCGTGCAGTCACAGAACGTTTGTTGTGTGCTTTTTTTAAAACATATTCCTGTGCATTGCGCAGCCTTAGTGCAATTTATCCAACTGTGTACTGAGTCCTGCAGGAAGGAAGATTACATTTAAGACACATCAGAAACTGTCTTCCTAAACCAGAAAAATCTATTACTTCATGTGCTAAAATTTGAAGTAACTTCCAGCTGATCTAAAATGAGAAATATTTAACACCAGTGAAGAAAACTAGTGCTGTAACCTTTCTTCAGTATATTAATTTTTTAAATGGAGACTTTTAATTGTAAATAATTGCTCTGAAAGTAACTTTGAAAAGCATTTTATTTTCTTCCAGTATTGAAACAGACAACAGTATATACCATGTTCTTAAAAAAAATGGAGTTGAAAAAAATAAACAAAAATCAACTGTTTATTTAGATTTGCTTCAGTCGGTAACAACATGAGTTTAATGATTTCTCATTTATCAGCACGTCTAAAATACATTCTTCTTTTTGTTTGTTTTTGCCTTCTTTCAGAAGTGAAGCCAAGTTGCATATTTAACAGCATGGAATATTACGACGGAGAGATGTTTCGGATGGATGCCTGTCGTTTCTGCCGATGCCAAGGTGGAGTCTCTATTTGTTTCTCTGCCCAGTGTGGTGAGCTACACTGCGACAGGTACTATGTGCCAGAAGGAGAGTGCTGCCCGGTGTGTGAAGGTACAGTATCTTTTTAATCCTGTTTGCTTATTAGTTCTACTGCCTTTTTTTTCTTTTTTTTGTTTTCTCCATGCAAATGAGTGCTTTATTTGTGCTTCTAAAGTTTGCATATACCTACGTAATTCCATTTACTTGAATGTGCGGTCTTGTTCTTTGCAGTGTGTCTCTGACATTGACACACTGCCCTTTTTACAGAGAGCTATTTGGGGTTCCTTTCCTTCCCTTCTGCTCAGAACTTCCTTAGACACGGTCGCATGTGTAGTAATTTTTGGGGACGACTTCTTCCCAAAGGACATAAGAAGCTTTTTCTAATTTCTGCACCAGGTATTTTGACAGGGCCCTCCAAAGCAGCAGTGGTGGCCCTAAGACACATTTCCATTGCTTTGCATGTGCTTCTTCCAGTATTGTTTTGTTCAGCTAGAGCAATGCCTTCATCCTCTCTTCTCCACAATTATAGCAAAGAAATGGGGCAGTAATCTGACTTCAAGGTTTTTCTTTTCCTGCTTACTAGGCCTGCAGTCCTCTGAAAAAGTGTTTTGTGCGAAGCTTCACATTGACCCTTTTGCTCACACTAGAAAATATTTAACACATTTTTTACCAGAATACAATCAGGATTCCAGTGGAGGGAGGTGGGGCTGGCGCTCTGCACTTGGATCCTGCCCCAGTGGCGGTCAGGATTATGGCCATGATGTAGAGAAAAGGCCTGTGAAGCACTCCTGGTCCCTCTATACTGATTTAGTATCAGTATTCCTGTAGTTCCTTGCAGGAGCAAAGAAGCCAGAAGATCCATTATAGTTGTGCTTCATTCCAGTCAGAGAATTACAAAAGTAAAGAAACTCATAAAAATGAGTCTAAAAGAGGCAGCTAGAAGAGTTGGACCTTCATGATCAGCACAGGTTCTAGTGAACGTTACTGTTTTGGTCTGTTGTTTTATTACAAACTATTGAAAACTTCTTCAGAGATTTCAAAAAAATAAAAACTGGATTATGAAATATCAGGGTGCTAAATTAGGAAGTAGGAAGTAATTCTTTAAAGAGTCTTTGTATATTTATGTATTTTGATGCATCAGTTCATATCAGATGGGTTCATACATGGTGCTCACATGTAGAGAAGCTGAAAAACAAATGCTGTAGGCTTAAGTATTCTAAAGAGTTACTAGTCCACATTTGCCTTTTGTTTAAGATCTGGTCTAGACGTTCATTATTGATGCTAGACTTTTTGGACTTTCCTGGTACGGTTGTGCCTATGCTTTTAAGAGTCTTCAAGCTGGGGGGGGGGGGGGATAAAATTT